CTGTATTTTTCAATCACTATGCCAGGCATTTTTCTAGGCACAGTGAAGAGAAAGATACAAAACAGGCATGGTCTCTGTCTTTACTATTCTAGATGATCGCCCTTAAAAGATCTCTCTGCTGGGGCGGTTGGTTGGCTCAGGTGGTTGGAGCACAGGCTCATGACACCAAGGTTGCCGGTACAATTCCCACATGGGCCAAGGAGCTGCGCCCTCCACAACTAGATTGAGGACAACTACTTGACTTGGAGCTGATGGGTCCTGGAAAAATACACTGTTTTCCAATAAAATTTCAAAAAAAAAAAATCTCCTTTCCTCAGGGGTTTTCCACCCTCTAATCCAGTGGTTCTCAAACTTTAAAGTGCATCAGAAACACTTGGGGTAGAGGGGGCTTGTTTTAAATGCAAATTTCCATCTCCATAACCAGCTGGTGGATAGAGCATGCCTGGGAATCTGCATTTAGAAGATTCTGGTGGAAGGGGTCTGAGGACCTCCCTTTGAGGGCCACTGCTTTAATGCCTCCTCCCACAACTCTGATCATGACATTTCCTTGCTTTAGTACCTCCTGTGGCTCCTCAAGGCCTTCAGAATAAAGGTCAAACCCTTGTAATGGCTTTTCACAGTCTGAGCCCAAAATACCTCTTGAGCTTCATCTCCAATGTTACCCTGCCCAGCCCTCCTAGCTTCTCCAAAACACCCATCTTCCTGTTTCTGTGAGCCTCTCTTGGTTGCCGCCCAATGGCCTTTCTCACCATTCTGTCATGCATGGAGAGCCCCAGCTTCCTAAGGGCCCCCATCCCAAGTGCTCAGGGAATGTAGCGCCCTACCTGGTCCCAAGAGGCGACTCACCATTGGCTTAAAACAGTGGTTCTCAAAGTGTGGTCCCCAGACTAGCAGCACCAGGGAACTTGTTAGAAATGCTAATTCTCAGGCCCCACCCCAGACCTACTGAATCAGTCACTGTTGGGCAGAGAGCAGCATGTTTTTATAAACCTTCCAGGTGATTTTGACGCACGCCCAAGTCTGAGAACCATTGATTGGTCCAAGATAATTTTCATGACCGAGAATTGGTGGGATTAGGAGCATGTGACCCAATGCTGTGAGGCAGAGACCACTATGTTCCTTCTAGTGTCCATGCTTTCTCCTCCTCCTTTTTTTTTTTTATAAAGAACAGAAATTTATTTCTCACAGTTCTGTAGGCTGGGAGTCCAAAATCGGGGTGCCAAAATGGTTTAGTTCTGGTCAGAGCCCACTTTTCAGTTGCAGACTGCTGACTTCTCATTGTAGCCTCACATGGCAAAGAGCAGAGAGTCCCCCTTTTCCTATAAAGGAATTTTTAGCTGGGCACATGTCCACCCAGGATAGAAGACTACCTTTCCCAGCCTCCTTTGCAATAGGTGTTGCCATGGAAGCAAGTTCTGGCCAATGGGATATGAGCAGTAGAACTCTGGCCTACTTCCAGATTATCCCTTTAAAGGGAGGGGTTGTCCTCTCCCCTGGCTCTGTTTATGCTTCCTTCTTGGCTGGACTGCAGCTGTGTGGAGAGCCATTTTGAAGTTGAGAACAAACCATAGCATGGTGGAGCAACAAGATAGGAAGCCCCTGGGTCGTGCATACACGAAGCTCCCATACCTGCCCTGGACTACTTATGTGATCGAATACATAAACTTCTATATGTCTAAGCCACTGTTATTTAGGTCTTAGTTATAGCCAAACTACATCCTGGCTAACACATATGGCCCTCAGATTCCTCAGAGAAGTTTTTTGAAGAATCTCTGGGAAAGGTTTTCCTTCACAATAAAAAGACATACAAGAAGGGGGAACCCTGGGCTTCCTTCATTAAGGGTTGATGACATCAAAAGCAGGATAATGATTGATGGATGTATTACTCCTAAAGCCGCAACAGCCAGTTTGCCAGCTATGTGAGTTTTCTAGGGCTGCCATAACAAGATAACACAGACTGGGTGACTTAAATAGCAGAAATTTGTTTTCTCACAATTCTGGAAGCTAGAAATCCAAGATCAAGGTGTCAGCAGGATTGGTTTTTTCTGCGGCCTCTTGCCTCCGCTTGCAGATGGCCGCCTTCTCACAGTGTCCTCACACGATCTTTCCTCTGCGTGCGTGCATGCCTGGTGTCTGTGTGTCCAAATTTCCTCTTCTTAAAACCACACCAGTCAGATTAGACTAGAACCCACTCTTCGGTCTCATTTTAACATCTCCAAAAACAGTCACATTCTGAGGTTCTCCTGGGTGTTAGTGCTTCAACACATAAATTTTGGGAGACACAAGCCAGCCCATAACACCAGCAAAGCAGAAAAATGTAAGGAACTTGATGCCATTTTTGAGATGCTCAGTGAACCAGTCCTGAAATCACTTACCATTGGACTTCTTGTCTTAAGAGATAATAAATTGTCCTTATTGTCTAATCCACCTTTGATTGAGTAGTCTATTCTTTGCAGCCAAACGCGTCACCACTCAGGCACCATGTGTTTGCTCAAGCTGTTCCCTCTGCCTAGACCTTCCTTCCATATGCCCTTCAAGGCTTGGCTTGAATACCATGGGCTTGGTGAATGGCTCTTGATTCTGCCTTCTCAGACTAGCCGCTTGGCTGATATCGGAGCTCTTTGCCTATGTGTCTTTCTCTCTAATCAGGTCAGGTTCACATATGCCTGATACACCAGCTGCCATATGCCCTGCTCCTGTCCCAAGGCAGGCACTGATAATCAATCCTTTTTTTTCATTCTGGGAGTAGAGCTGGTGTTTATCCTCTACACAGAGCTCCAGGCAGCCCCTGCCAATCAACTGATAGTGGCTCAAAGGAGGTGAATCCTGTTTGCTACAACTGTCTTTGAGAGCAGGGACTTTGTTTTATTCATCTGTTTTATGATCCACAAGCTAATTTTAATAATAAATGTTACCATTGTATGCTGCTGTTTCCATTTAATTCCTGCAACAGCCTTCAGAGGCAAACACCATCATCATCCTGCTTTTGACGCATGAGAACCCTGGGCTCTGAGAGATGAACTACCTGTTCAAGGTCATACACATTGGAATCTAGGTCCATCTGTTTCCTCTACCCACTTCCATTGACATTTACTAGGCACTTGATCTGTTCATGGCCCTGGGGTGGGCACTGCAGAAAATATGGATAGTTCGCTGTTTCTAGTGGCACTCAGAACATTTCTTCTCCTACTTGAGATGCCCCAGAAGCTCACAGATGTTTGGAGTTAGTCTAGGAATAATAAGCGTTCCCATTTTACAGATAGGGAAATTGAGGCTCAGAGAGAGGAAGGGGCTTGCAAAAGCCAGTCATGGAGGTGCCAGAGCAAGAGACCACCTTTCATTCTCTGCTGCCACTCTGAGGATGGAAATTCGGGATTTGCTCAAGGGGTTAAGTGGGAGTTTTGATGTCAGGAACAGTCAAGGATAGCGCACATCCTGGCCTTTTCCGGTTGGCCACAGGCTGATGGAGATCTCCCTTCCTGCCGCTGGGAGGTGACTGGCAGGATGTAGAGAAGCAGGAGGGAGTGGCTGTGTGAGCTTGCACTAAGCGGGCTAGGCCATTTCTCCTCCCCGGAAAAAGGGAGGGAGGTAAGGGGGAAGGCTGATGGCTAGGAGTCTTCTGTGGCCCTCACACCCAGAGGCAGTGGGAGCTCTGACTCTTGCTCCAACGGGCACTGACCTGGCACACCCACGCTTTCAGAAAAACAATCCTATGCATTGGCCCCCGCACCTCACAATTTCCAACCACTTTTCTCATTCCGGGCCTGATGTCTCTCTTGCCATACCTCTGAGTGCAGGGCAAGGCTTTTAGGCCAATTGTTCCCATTGGGAAGATGAAGAAGCTGAGTCTCAGGGAGGCAACAATAAGTAACCTGCCCTGGATCATAGAGCAAATCCGTTCCAGAGTGTGGGTCTCCGGAACCCAGGTGTCATAGCAAGGGGAGGATGGGTCAACGAGAGCCTTTCCAACTGTCCTGCATGGGGCGTGCAGAGTACATTGGCCCTAGAGGCAAGGAACTTGGCTTCAGACCCAGAGCTGGCAGAAATCCCAGGTCCTCCTCTTATTCATTGTGTGACCTTCTGCAGTTGAGCTTGTATTTAAAATCTGTATGATGGGTATCCTAATGGTACCCCAATGTTATGAGGAATAAGTGAGATGAAATACATGAAGTGCTCAGCACAGAACTACAAAGGGAGCCTTGCCTCCCTTAACATTCTCCCAAGAGACAGTACGATAGCCCAGGACACACGGACACATAGAAAAGTAAATAGTGAATATTTATTAAGCACTTCATATGTGCCAGGAGCTCTTCAAAGTGCATTTAATCCTTACAATTTCGCGATGAGGTCAGACTGGCATTATGCCCATTTTATAGACGGGCAAGTTGAGGCACGAGAGATTAAGGGACTTGACCAAGGTCATGACCTTAGAAAGTGGCAAAGGCAGGAGTCAAACTCAGGCAACCTGTCTCCGAAGCTCATGCATACTGCCTTCCTTAATAGTAATAATTAATTTTTAAAATCATGACTTGCTTCAACACAGCATTCTATAGTTTAGGACGTACTGTTCTACTTACTCTTTCATTTAGTTCTCACCACAGCAGCCCAGAGAGAGAGGCAATGTTTATTCCCAATTTATAGTTGAGAGGTAGAAACTGAGGCCGTGAAAGGGGTAACTGACGTGCCTTACCAAGGTCACACAGCAAGGTCAGCGACAGAAGTAGCAGAATTTGGGATTTTCTGACTCCACATGTAGGGAACCCTTCCCCAGCCTTATTCAGCTCCCACGCCCCCTCCATAGCAAGCCTCTGGCTAGCGGCCTTGAGGTTGTCTCCCCAGGTCAGTTGCTCTATCTGGGCTTCCACTGTTCAGCTGAGGGGTCCCAGGGCTGCATCCAACCCCCTCCACCTCTGCTCACTATCAGACAGGAGGGGCAGGAACTCCAGGGCTGGTGGAGTTTCCGACCAGGCAGGAAAAAGAACAAAGGAACTGTGTGGGGGGAGAGGGTGGAGGGGGTGGCCAGCAGGGTGGCAGGAGTAGAAGGGACGATTCACCATGGAATATGAAGTCAAGAAAGGGAAAAAGGTAGGTGGGAGGTTTGGAGGGATGCAGGGCAGAGAAATGTCCCCAGAGCTGGGGACATGGGAAGTCTCGGGTGGGGGTGATGGGCAGTGAGGGCATAGGTAGGGCCTTTTTTCCCATTTGGAAGGACCTTCCTCCCCACCCTTGGACAGCCAGACATTTGGGCTCCAAACTCCTTAACCTGTCTCCTCCTGCTCTCAGTGGCCTCTGCCACCCTTGCAATGTGCAGACAGACAGACAGGCACCTTCCAGGGAAACCCAGCCAGACAGATTTGTTTGGGAGATAGTCCCAGCCTCCTTCCCTGGTGTTCTTGGGGGGGTTCCTTCCTGCAGCTTCTCAGCCAGAGGGACAGACAACCAACAGACTCATTCCCCTGCTCCCTCCCTTCCCAGACAAGACCTCAGCCAGGGCAATTCTGTGCTGTGAGGCTGCCTGTTCAGGATTGAGACACATACCTGATCCCCTGCTGGGTTCCAGTCTAGTCTGCCACTCCCTGTCTTTATACCAGAGCCAGCTCCTAACGCTTCAGCCTAGGGGTTATTTCCTCCACCCCTTAGGTCCCCACTCCTTCCTGACTCTAAGAAGTTTTCTAGTCTGGTTCTCTGGGCATCTCGTCTGCAATTCAGGGAGCCCCTCGGGTTCCAACTCCCACTCTCGGCCCCACCAAGCCCTCTTCTCCCAGGAAACCTAGGTCAGGCTGTTCCAAAAGACTCCCTCTTAAATCACAAGGACTCAGAAAGGAGCCAAGATGGATGTGCATGTTTCTCTGGATCCATTCCTTCTACAGATATTTACTGAGCACCTGTTATGTCCCAGGCACTATGCCTGGTGCTGGTGATGATGCAGTGATGAGCAAAGCCAGTCAAGGTCCCTGCTCCCTCCCTGGAGCTCACAGTCTAGTGGGGGAAGCAACTATTAATTTTTTTTAACAAAGCAATTAATGCAACATTGCATAAAATGTTCCATATACAGTGCTGGAAGACAGGATATTAGGGGACCCAGCCTGAGACTGTCAGTTTGAGCTGAGATGTGATGGGTGGAAGGAAAGGGGATGGGGAAGAGTGTTTCAGGCAGAGGACTAGCATGTGCAGAAGCTCTGCAGTGGGAATGAACGTAGCAAGGGGGAAGGACTGAAAGATGGCAGCCCTTTGGCTGGAGGGCAGACGTGAGGGGCAGTGTGGGGTAAAATGAGGCTGGAGACGTGAGCAGGGTTGGGCCATTCAGGGCCGCAGACAAAACATTTACCTCTCCAGCCCACTCACACATACCCAGGATAAAGTCCCAGCTCCATAGCTGGCAATCAGGGACTCTATGACTTGTTGATATCATAATTCAGCCACAGCAGACTCCACACAGCTTCTCTAGACATGTGCTTATCTGGTCCTTAAAGCCTCATGCTGGAATACCCTTTCCAATGAGGTTGTTTGTTCTCATTTCTCCGAGCTTCCATATACTCCATCCAGGCTCCACGACATTGGTTTTAAAACTTGGTGCAGCAGAATCACCAGGAACACTTGTTTGAAACATGGATCATGGGGTCTCACCCCCAGGCTCTGATCCATCAGGTCTGAGATGGAGTGCAAGAACGTCCATTTCTCTCAAGTTCCCAGGTGATGTTGCCGCTGCCGCTGGTGGCGGTCATCCAGTTACCACACACTGAGAACTGCTGCTCTAGAGTAGTGCTCAGACTTTCCTGTGAGAACTGGATTCTGTTGGGCTGAGCTGGAACCCTGGAATTTGCACCTTTAAACTTGCTCCTAGCCTTTTTTTTTTTTAATGCAGGTGCCCGCTGAATTATACTTAAATGTACTTATTCACTATTTCTAATTTTTAGGAAAGCACAGAGAAGAGCTTCACAAATTATGCACCCACCACCCAGCTGCATGGAATCTTAGTATTTTTCTGTAGTTGCCCCAGCCAGGGTCTTGGCAGGGCCCCTACTCCTCACCTGGGTGTTTAGAAGGGAGGTTTTGGAGCCAGACGGCCCAGGGTAAGCAATTAGTTTTACCACTACTAGCTGGTGAGCTTATCAGCTAGTGCCCTCTCTGAGACTTAGTTTTTCTACCTGTAAAACGGAGATTACCGAGGTACCCATTCCGTAGTTTTTGTGAGAATTAAATTTGGTAATGTAAGTAAAATTCTGAGCTTGGTAAGTGCTCTATAAAGTCAGTTGCTGTTATCAATGTTATCCCCGCACTTTCCCCAGGGCTTCGTATCCCCTATCCGGAGGCTGGTGTTCCCCAAGGCGGCTCGTCGGGCAGCCTTTAGGAGCAGCGTGAGCCGCCGCCCCCTGCACTCCATGCCCCTTTATCCCCCTGACTACCTCATCGACCCCCAGATCCTGCTATGTGACTACCTGGAGAAAGAGGTTAAGGTGGGTGCGGGATGAGGAGAAGGGGTGGGCACAATCTTGGGGTGAAGAGTATAGGGGAAGAAAAAGTTTCCCTCAACTTTCTTAGGGTCCCTGGCTGGGTCTGAACATTAAACTGACAAATATTCACAGGAGAAAAGCATACACATTTTATTAAAGTTGTACTTGTCCATGGGGGCCTTCACAAGAAAATGAAGACCCCAAGAAGTGACCAGAGCAGGAAGCTTTTATACCTTTTTGATAAAGAAACAATACATTTGTGAAGAACTGACAAGGCAAGAGGGGTTAGGACTAGGGGTAGTAAATGATGAAGAAATAACAAGGTTTGCTTATATAGCCTTCTCGGGCCGAAATCTTCTGTCTCTTCCTCCTGGTGCAGGGAGTGTACCTTTCACCTGGGAGGTTTATCTCCCGCTTTCAGGGAAGGGTGAGTGGGGAGGTCAGAGTGACCTTTGTGATTATGCCATTTTCTCAAAAACTCCTTCAGCTTAGGATATTCAGTATGCCAAAAGGTGCCATATTTTGGGGTAGCGTATCCCGGACCCCATCAGGAGAGACCACTTCAACCCGTGACCAGCCTTGTCTCATTCCAGGGGAGTCCCAGGCGAAAGAGGAACCCTCGCCCCTGCCTTAGGCTACGGACCCTTACTTAGCATGCAATTTCTACCTGCCCTGCCTCAGTGCTCCCACTTCAACACAGGGCTCAGAACCTACCCCCAGGGAAGAGCACATGGGAAAGTGCTCTGTGCACTAAAAAGCCATACTTTCCTGTGAGGTTTTACTGCAGTACTATTGTTACTCAGTGTCCAGGTTAAAGGAATCTAGTTCAGCAAGCCACAGGGAACTTAGGCCACTCAAGGGCTTTACTTCTATTTCATGAGCATCATGAAGGAGCAATGAAGAGTCCTGATTACCCAAGAAAAATCGATACAGGGGTAGGAGTGCCAGATTTAGCAAAAACATGCTGCCCAGTTAAATTTGAATGTCAGATAAACAATGAGTCCTTTTTTAGTATTAATATATGTCCCAATACTGCATGAAACTAAAAATACTAAAAGAACAAACTAAAAAAGTGTCTGTTGTTTATGTGACATTCAAAATTAACTGGCATCTTGTATTTTATCTGGCAACCCTCTAGGGAGAGAAAAGCTAACGAATAAATCCATTTAAAAACTGGAGACTTAAGTTTCATCGAGAATTTAAAAAGAGAGAGAGAGGAAAACGTGATTAGTGAAACTCAACTAGAAGAATAAAACTAAAAATAATGAAAAAAGCTGATTATTATATTGATGGAATAACACTAAAGTTAAGTGATAATGTTGTTATTAAGAATGACTGAAGAATTCATTTATTGATTTGGGACATAGTTTTTCTGACAAAATTATATACTAATTTCATACAACAGTCTTCCCTTTCCATTTAACTTCTGCAACGAGATCATAAAGAGGGTGAGTGGCTTGCACTGTCAGTCGACACTGGTGCTTGGGATGGACAGAGCCACTCAGGCCAAGCGGGAATTCACAGGTGGTCAGTCATTCTGAGCTATTATAGTGACTTTTCCTACTGTTGTAGCTAAATACCGATGTGTTCAGGCAATATAAGCTAACAGTGAGAGTGTGGGCTCTGGTGTGTGGAGTCCACTTTTGCCCTTTCTAGAATATAATATTGAGCATGCTATTTATCTTTGCTGTGCCTTAGTTTCCTAGTCCTTAAAGTGAGGATGAATGAGTGAATGTACATAAAGCTCTCAGGACTGTGTCTGGCTGCTATGGCCGGCTCAATAACAGTTATTATCAGGCTTTTACTATTAATTCAGATACTTCTATCTCAGTCTACCAGCACCGCGTCAGTGAGGAGGTCAGGGTCCTCCAAGGCTTCAGGATGACTTCTCTCTGCCCTTCTTCCACCACTCTCCCCACCCCACCCCTGTTTCCCATCCAGTTCCTAGGCCACCTCACCTGGGTGACCTCCTCGTTGAACCCCTCCAGCCGGGACGAACTCCTGCAGCTGCTGGACACGGCCAGGGTGAGGCTCTGGGGAAGGGAGAGGGCGGGGTCTTGTCCCCTTCTCCCGCCGCCCCGCCCCCAAGGCCAGGGGGAACTCAGGAGATCCGACCTACCCCCGCAGCAGTTGAAGGAGCTGCCGCTGAAGACCACGGCGGAGCAGGACAGCATCCTGAGCCTGTCGGCCCGCTGCCTGCTGCTCACCTGGCGTGACAACGAGGAGCTCATCCTGCGTATCCCCACTCACGAGATCGCCGCCGCCTCCTACCTGCAGGACGACGCGCTGCACCTGCTGGTGCTTAAGACAGGTACAGCGGGAGGGGCCTGCCAAGGAACAGGTGAAGAGGTGAAGGAGAGAAAGGGCTCCACGTCTAGTCTTGGAAATAGATGTGACTGGGTCAGGGGCGGGGCCTGAGGCTGGATGATGGATGATGGAAATAGCCTGACTACCCTACCCAGAAACTAGGAGCAGGCCACGGCCATATGCAATAAGACCAAGCCCAAGGTTGATGTTGAAGAGTGGGGTGGCCTGACCCACTATCCTAGGGTAGAGAAGTCAGGGGTCCTGAGGTCAGGGCAGGGCGTGGATTTAAAGGGCGTGGTGAAGGGAGGTGTGGTGAAGGGAGGCGTGGCTGCTGCGCTCCGAGGGTAGGGGTGGAACGGCGGACGAGGGCGGAGTCCGACCTAGGGGTGGGGCCATACGCAGGGGGCGGGGCTCGGGGCTGGGGTAGCTGGTGAGAGCTGTCAGATCACACCAAACTCGTGGCGAGACCTGAGGCCAGGCGCGAGGTAGAGGCGAAGCCGGAATCCAAGGAGGGCACCTTGAAGCTAGGGGCAGGGTCCGAGTTAAGGGTACAAAGGGAGGGACAACTTGACCACCACAGATGTCAGGGGCGTCGAGGTGGGGTGAGGTGGGTGGGTGCAGCTAGCGGAGCCAAAAGCAGGAGTGGAGCCGGGGGCGAGGCTGGATAGTAAGGACGCGGTGTGGGGGCGGGGCTGGCCTCAGAACTTTGAAGCCAGGGGTGAGGCCTGAGGCCAGGGACCGGGCCAGGCGCGGCCCGACCTCTAGGAGGCCGGGTCAGGTCCCCTGGCTGGCTTCAGGAGGGTGCTCTTAGCCTGATCTCCTGCGCCTGACGGCCACCCGGCCTCTCCTAGGTCTGGGCGTGGACCCAGTGCCGGCCGGTGTAGACGCCAGCCCTGGCGGCGCAGGGCGTGACCCGGGCCCGCCGGGCGCGGCTCCCGAGAAGCGGCGGGTGGGCACCACCGAGCGGCGCCACACCATCTGCAGCCTAGACTGGCGGATGGCGTGGGGCGGGGGCGCGGGCGCCGAGGCCCGGGCTGGTGGCGGCGGCGGCGGCAGCCTGGAGCGCCAGCGCGTGGGGCCCCGGGCGTCCGGCAGCTGGGAGCGGCGGCAGACGTTCAGCGGCAGCTGGGAACGGCGGCATGGTGGCGGCGGCGGCAGCGCGGGCAAGCCGGGCGGCAGCTGGGAGAGGAGGCAGGCGGGCGGCGGCGGCAGCTGGGAGCGGCGCCACCCGGGCACCAACCCTCTCGACCCGCAGGACCCCAGCCCAGACGCCTACTGCAACCTCGTCATCCTGGCTGTGGCCAACAGGGTGAGCCCAAGGGCACCCTGTCCCACTGCGCCCTGCCTCCCGGGCACGTCCTCGATGGGAGGGCGCCGCTCACCCCACCCCACCCCACCCCATTCACGAGGTTCCTGGGGGTCTACCCTGGCCTCTTTACTACTCCCTCCTGCCGCCCTACCCAGGATTGATTCAGGTACTTCCTTTGTGCCCATGATACCAAAAGGCTTCTGAACTCCAACCTTGGACCCCTTCGGACACTTCCCCCTTGCTGTCCCAGTGCATTGAAAACTCACTATGGCTAAAACAGACTTGATCTAACCCCTTCTTCAATCCTGTTCCTTCTCCAATGTCATCAATATCCGCACTACCACAGTGACAATCATGAGGACACTAATCACTGGCATAAATCGAATGCCAACCCATGCTGGACACAGAACCAGCATTAACTTATTTCATTCTCACAGGATCTCCTAGAAGCAAATAGTTCAGCCATCCCATTCTGTAGAGAAGAAACCTCACCCAGAGGCTAAGTAACTTGTGCAAGGTCACGCAGGAAGCAGGTGGTGATTTCAACATTGGGACCCAGGAAGTTCAGAGCCTGTACTCTTGGTGACTGTCTGTCACCCAAGGCAGAGAAGCCTTTCTGTCACTCTTGCTTTGCCTACCCTCTCCGCCCCTCCCCACCCCATCCTCCACATTCACATTGCTTTTATTCACTTGGCCATGTTTATTGAGCACCAGCTTGTGCTAGACATTGGGCTAGGTGCTGTGGATAGAGATAAGACATATTTGGTGTCCTCCGGTAGGGAGCGCACAGTCCGGCAGACGCCTTCAAGCCCTGAGCCTTCTAGGCTTTTCCTCTGACCCAGGGAGCCCCGACTCTGTATATAAACTGGGGTGAATAAAGCAGACATGGTGCCCATCCAGAGGGATAGATGGATAATGACCAGTAAACACGGGCTCCAGAGCTGACTGGCTTTTCCCTGGAAACAGTTTCTCATTTGGCTTCCAGCTCGCCACATTCTCCTAGTTTTCTTCCTACCTTCCTGGCTGCTCCTTCTCAGGAGCTGGTTTCTCCTTTGCGGGCTCTACAGGTTGGACTGCTCCAGGCATAGTCCTTGAGCCTCTCCTCTCCTTTACACTCATTTCTAGGTGATCTCCTCTAGTCTCCGGGCATTTAAAACACTGAGCATTCCCCCAAAGTTTCTCACCAAATCTCTGGACATGTTTCTCTACTCAGCCCTCTGAAGGGCTAATGACCTTCTCAAACCTAACACATTCAAAGCTGAGCCCCCAATCTTCTCCCCTAAACCTGCTTCTCCCTTGGCTTCCTTATCTTGATTAATGGCAGCCCTGTCCTTCTGTTGCTCATAACAAAACCTTGCAGTGATCCTTGGCTCCCCTCTCTTTCACACAGCCCATATCCACTCTGTCAACAAATCATCTTGGCCCTGTTTTTTTTGTGTTTTTTCTTTGTAAACCCATGGCAACCCACTGCCACAGGGGCTGCAGCCTACGCCGTCCCCAGCGACTCACGGCAGCCCAGCTCCAGGCTGAGCTGTTGTTCAGCATCTTAGCTGTGGAGGGCAGTGTCACTGGCCCTCATATGTGGGATCCGAACCGGGGCCCTCTGGCCCCAAGCCAGTTCTTAACCATCACGCCACTCGCCCAGCCCTTGTTTTGTTTTTTAATTATTCGAGACGTCTTGCTCTCATTCTTTTTTTTTTTTTTAAGATTTTATTGGGGAGTTGGGGGAGGGGAACAGCGTTGGGGAATCAGGGAAGGGGAATAGACAAGTTGCTGTCCTTTTGTTCTTCAGTCTATTTGTGGAGGATGTTGCTTCACTGGCCCATGTTGGGATTATCATTGCGCTCTTCCTGGATGAGGCAGATTGGTCGCCGGCCTCTGGATGGCCACTCACAGAGGCTCTTGACAGCTCACGCTGGCTGCCGGCCACTCACGGTAGCTTATGGCAGCCCACTGCAGCCTACGCTGTTGCCGGCAACTCACGGGAGCCCAGCTCCAGGTCGAGCTGTTGTTCACCATCTTAGCTGTAGAGGACGCGGCGTCACTGGCCCTCATGTGGGATCTGAACCCGGGCCCTGATGCTCAGAGCTGGCGTCCCAAGCCAGCTCTTAACCAACGCGCCACTCGGCTGGCCCTTGGCCCTGTTTTTAAAATATAAATCCAAACCCATCTGCTTCTCTCCACTCGCCACTGTCCCCACCTAGGTCCATGCCCCATCTTCTATCATCTGAATCATGCAGTCACCCCTCACTGGTTTGGCTCTTGCTTACAATCTGTTCCCCCACATGGTCAGAGCAGTCCTATTAACACTTAAGTCACATTGTGTCACTGCTCAAAATCTTTCAGCTCCCCTTTTCATTTGGAGTAAAAGCTAAGGTCCTTAAAACTGCTTATAAGGCCATTCACCTTATAGTGGTTCCAACCATCATTCCCATTTCCTCTCTGGCCTCATCTCTTTCCACTCTTCCCCTTTATTCACTCCACTCCAGCCAGATTGGTCTCCTTGTAGAGTGCAAGAGACCTGTGTGTGCTGGGTGGTTCACTGTGGTATTTCTGGCTCCTAGAACAGTGCCTGGCACATCATAGGTACTCAATAAATATTAAATGAGTAGATCAAGTCAATCAGATTATTATACCTGTGATGGAAACCAAGAAGAAAGAAAGCAGGTTGCAGTGATAATTAGGGAGGAGATCCATTTTCCATAGGGAAAGTGAGTTTGTGCCCTGTTTATCCCACTGGACTGTGAGGGCTTTAGGGTACACACCTCAACCAATTCACCTCTGAGACCCCAGAGCCTGTTCCAGTACCTGTCACACAGTTAACAAAATGAGAATTTGTAAAATAAATAAATAAATGAAGAGTTGTTTTCCAGGAGTACCTTAGCCTCTGGCCTTTTATCTGAAACATTGTGGTCCCAAGGAGGGTACAGGAGTTAGTCACAAAATCTGGGTGCCAATATTAACCAATGCCACAAGCCTGCTGTGTGAGCCTGGGCAAGCCATGTAAGCCTCTGTGTCTTTAACTATAAAATAAGGACCCTCTCTTTCTTGTCCATTTTGTAGGTTATTGTAAGGCTCGATTTTGGTTTAATGATTAGTACGTTCCCCCAACCCAAAATATCTATCCAGGGCTACATTTTAATTTACACCCTGGGTGTTTTTTAGATTCGCAAAAGGAAATGCCTTCATGGAGATGGTCTCTTCATCAATTATGGTCTTTTTGTGTCTCTTGCTTGAAGACATTAAGAGGCAAATTCTTCCTCAAATTTGCAATCTCCAAAAGATCTCACCCAAGAACTTAAATTCCTTGCTTTTATTAGAGACTGAAGTCTATGCATTTATCCTGCTTCCACTTATGCCCTGGGCGCTCCAGAAGCTCATATCTAAATATGGCATCTGGCAGTAGTAACTATGTTGAGCCTCAAATGTTCACACGTTTAATTTTTCTTCTACCTACTAGGTATTAGGAGACCTGGGTTCTAGTCCTGGATAAGCACGCTACCTCTTTGGGTCTCAGCTTCCTACCTGTAAATTAAAATAAATTAGGACTAGGGCCGGCCGAGTGGCTCAGTTGGTTAAGAGCTCGCTCAAGAGTTTGAGCTCTGAGCAATGGCGGTTCAATTCCCGGCCCAAGCTGAGCTGCCGTTGAGCTGCCAACAGGTGGCAGGATGGCTCAGCTAAAAAAATTAAAAATAAATAAATAAATTAGGACCTATTTTAGATAAACTTCAGGAGGGTTCATGAATCCCCCAGAAATTGGGAGTGCTTGTATGCTATTTTCAGGACAGAAGGGTTAGAATCATCACTGGATTCTATAAAAAGGCCATATAATTTTGATGGGAAATATCCTCAAAGTCAATTTAAAGGCCTCCATATGTGTGTGTGTGTGTGTGTGTGTGTGTGTGTGTGTGTGCGCGCGCGCCTCTGTGAGACTCCTCATACTGTGTTTTAGAAAGCAGGGACATCCTGGTCACTGGAGAGGGCCTGAGCTCTGTCCTTCTCCCTGGGCCAGGATGCTGCCGAGGAGTCCTGCGCCCTCATCTGTCAGGTCTTCCAGATCATCTATGGGGACCAGAGCATTGAGTGTGTGGACCGGGCCGGCTACCATTACACATCCACACCCGAACGGCCATGGCTCTGCAGCCGCAGTGAGTAATTGAATTCCTGGCCTTCCCTCCTGTGAAACATTCCAAAAGTCTGGGAGGGGGGAATGCCCCAGGATTTAGGCCAATGAAAGCCTTTAGGGGTCCTGATCTCTACTGCAATTACAATGTACCCCTGATCTAGATTAAAAGAAAATGTCAGTTTTCATAGCTTCTTCAGATGTTCCGGTTGTCACGTTCAGAACAAGCCCTGCAGAGCTGAACTTTTCTCTCTCCCTTTTGTTTTTGGTGTCTGCTTTTGCGAAACCTATGCACATGCATTGTGTGTTTACTGAGCTGGCTAGTCCCTTTAGGGAAGTAGGTCAAAGCCAAGATTTCCAGACCCATCTTTGAATGCAATCAAGGGCTAGAACGAGAATGAGACCAATAGGGGCATTTACTGAGCACAAACTATGTGCCAAGACAGTATCAATGTGCTAAGTCTCATTTAATCCTCTTAGCAACCGTGTCTATCCTGTTTGCCACTGTATCCCTGTGCCTAGTGCGGGACCAGGGACATCACAGATGCTCAAGAAGTATTTTTTGAATGGATGAAAGAACTGTCTGAGGACTTATGATTCCAATTTTACAGATGATGACATTAAGGCCCAGAGTAGTCAATAAATTGTTTAAGTTCACACAGCTAGTAGTAAGTGACAGAGTCAGGATTCAAACCCAGGTGTGTCTGATTCTAAAGCTTCTGTCTGCCACAGCTTTTCTCCCCATGCTGCCTTCAAGGCCCCTGAGTAAATTTCCACAGCCACAGCCCTTTCAACATAGATCTCTGTTTGCATAGTTCCAGCAACATAGAGCCTGCTCTTTACTTCTGGAGGCACTCCCATCTGTGGGAACTGTGGTTTGGGAAGCTGGGATAGTTCATCAACCATCACAAGGACGATAGGCAAATAAATGAGATAATTTAACAAATATTTCAAGAAATTCATTCATTCAGCATATATGCATTGAGTAGGGACTGTGTGTCTGATCCTGCTAATTACCAGGATATACTGGTGAGCAAAATTAGATGTGGCCCTGCCCTCACGAGGCTTGCTTGCATTGCTGAAGTAGTCCGACAGTAAGCAAATAGTTACGCAAATACAATGTAACCACATACTCTATGCTATGAGAACATATAATGAGGAACTGTCCACCCCTGGAAAGTCAGGGAAGTGTCCTGAGGCAGTGACACTGAGTGAGCCAAGATCAAAAGGCAAAGCTTGTACCCGGATTCAGTGAGACGCCGGGACTAGGTACAGAGCAAGCTCTCTCTGTAAAGGGTACTTCTTTCCTCTCAAGATTTTGAGTTCCTTCCCTCTCAATGTTCTTTTTTGTCTCAGCTCAAACACATAGTTTACCAAAATAGACCCTCACCTCTTCCCTCATCTGCTATACCCATGACCCCCATGAGGTAGGCAGGAAGATGGGATTGTCCCAATGCTGGAAAAGTTGAGGGCCAGGAGATGGGAGGTGAGTTACCCAAGGTTGACTGTGTGTTGGGGGGAAGGGCAGGAATCATGGTCAGAAGCTTCCAGTCGCTACCCATTTCACTCAGAGTAAAAACTAACACTCTTACAGTAGCTTACAAGGCCATATGCGCTCTCCAGCCATCATCCCAACCCCAGGGTGGGGGCTGAAGTTGGGGTCTCAGGAGCCGGGGATGCTGGTCCCTGCTTTGCCATCTCTAACACTCTGTCTGCTGTTTCCAGGTGAGAGCTGCCGAACCGACGGGACTTATGCCTACGACGCTGACTTCAGCTGCTGCAGCTCCTTGTGGGTATTACCCACTCTTCCCCTCCCCACCCGTGCATAAACAGGGTTGCTTTTCTAGGCATTTTTGAGACCTCTTTGGGCAAGAAAGAGTGGGAGAAAGTGACCCCACCTTGATTTGTGCTGAGACACTGAGCACTGAGGATGGGAGGTAAACTGAGCTCTTATGAGCTCATGGGATCCACACCCCTGAGAGACCTAGTGTGCAACCAGAACCCAGAAGTGGACCCACATAGGCCTATGATTCTTTCCCAGTCAAACAGACACAATGGCCTGCAGAGCCCAAAATCACAGCTAATGCCAAAAAAATCATTTTTGTTTACTTTAGTTTTGGCTCCATGTAATAGAAAACCCTTTAAAAAAAAAAAGAGTAGCTTAAACAAGTTGGCCATTTTCAAGGCCACCTCATGCCTCAAGGGTGGCTATAGCCCCAGCCATCATGGCAGCATGCAGGGGCCTCTTTAAAGAGCTTTGCAGGAATTCCAGGTCTCCAAACATCCTCTAATGGCAGCGGTTCTCAACCTTCCTAATGCCGCGGCCCCTTAATACAGTTCCTCATGTTGTGGTGACCCCCAACCATAAAATTATTTTCGTTGCTACTCTATAACTGTAATTTTGCTACTGTTCTGAATCGTAATGTAAATATCTTTTTGTTTTCCGATGGTCTTAGGCGACCCCTGTGAAAGGGTCGTTCGACCCCCAAAGGAGTCGTGACCCACAGGTTGAGAACCGCTGCTCTAATGACTCCTGCTTACATCTCATTGGCCAGAACTTGGCCACATCACCACAACTAGCAAAACTAGAAAATGTAGGATTTAAAAAATATATATGTATATATTGCCACTAAGCTACACTGCTTCCCTGTAGGTAATGGAAGATGGTTCTGGGACAACATAAAGACCAGGAAGCAGGTTGACTTTTTATTAAGCAATATTTATTGAGTACACACTGTGTGCCAGGCACCATACTGTATGCTAGGGATACAGTGGGGAATGAGACAATGACGAGACCTATGCTTGGCACATAGTAGGTGTTCAACAAATGAAGAAAACCAAGGTCCCAGCTCGTGCATGGTTTACAGTCTAGCACAGGACACAGCGAAGTCATTATTTAATAGTAATAAGCATTAATGATAATAAGCACTGAAAGACAAGCTCAGAATGCTGAGAAAGAGGCTGTGGGGACATGACCTCAGCTGGGGAGTCAGAAGGGCCTCTCAGCTGACGATACTTGAACTGAGGCCTGGAGGAGGAGTGCTCCAGGTAGAGGGAACAGCAAGTGCAAGGATTCTGAAGCAGGACAAAGCTGGGTGTGTTTGAGGGGCAGCCAGGAGGCCACTGTGGCTGTGACAGAGGGTGGAAGGGAGAGGGTGGTCAGAGAGGATGCTTGGTGGGGAGATCTGGAAAGTCCTTGCACGTTATGAGCAGACTTGTAGACTTTGTGACCGCATTTCACAGAGGGTCTAACCTAGTCTGGGGGGATCGAGGAAAATTTTCCTAAGAAGGTGACATTTAAGATCTAATGATGAATAAGAATTAGCTGAGCAACAGATAGAGGAAGAGAGACATTCTAGGACATGGGAACAGCATGTACAAAGACCCATAGGAGAAGAGGTACTTGGGAGTATTAAAGAAAAAGAGAGAAGGCAGGGTGGCCTGAGCACAGAGAACAAAGGTGAAAAGAGGCTTGAGAGGCAGCCAGGGGCCAGAAAATGTGTGTCCTTAAAGGCGAAAATGGAGCCTGGGATGAGGCCTCAGGCCCAGAGCACTGGCAGCTGTGCCCTCCCACCTTCCACCTGCGGCAAGGGAGGAGCTGGAGGGAGGTGAGTGAGGACCACTTTCTGCCTGTCCCTGCAGCAATGGCTCCCAGGACACATTTGAAGCATGTTACAGCGGCACGTCCACACCCTCTTTCCATGGCTCCCACTGCAGCGGCAGCGACCACAGCGGCCTGGGCCTAGAGCAGTTACAGGATTACATGGTCACGGTGAGCTGGGGCACCAGTGCAAACAGCACAAGCAAAGGCCTGGAGGCTGGAGAAAACATGGGGTATTTCAGGAATCGTGAATAATCCTGGACGTGACTGAAGCATAAGACCCCAGAGGTCAGGGTAAGACATGAGGTTAGGAGAGTAAACGAAGGCCAGCTTGTTGAAGGGCCTAAACTAACGTCAGCCAGCATTGTCAAAGGAGGGCTGGACCAAATATGTCCTTAGAGTGGGCTCTGGGACTTTTAGGTAGGGTTTGGGTGGGGGTTGCTTCCTGGGATTGATCTCTGGGATTGATCTAAACAGTGTCCCCACAGTTGCGGAGTAAGCTGGGGCCCACTGAGATCCAGCAGTTCGCACAGCTGCTGCGGGAGTACCGGCTGGGGCTGCCCATCCAGGATTATTGCTCCGGCCTGCTGAAGCTCTATGGAGACCGGCGCAAGTTCCTCCTCCTTGGTGAGCCCCCTGCCCCACTCCTTAAGGGTCAGCCAAGACCCCTACATGGTCCATGACATTCCTGGTCAGGCACTAGACTGGGAGTGTTTATTCCTTATCCTTCAGCCTCTGATTAGGCCAAGATCATGAGATCCATGGAGCATATGAGGAGACCAAGTTGCAAAGAGAGGAAGGGGCTTGCCTGCAGTCACAGAGCCAATAAGAACAGAGCACTGGTATAGCCATTTCATCTTCACAGCAAAGCTGGAAGAGGGAATGATTCTTCCTATCTTACCCATGAGGAAGCTGAGGCTCAGAGAGGCTAAGGAACTTGTTCAAGATCACACAGCTAGTAAGGAGGGCCAATAAAAATAACAACAGGAATACTATTAATAAGCTAACATATATTTGGCAGTTACCATGTGCCAAGCATCATCTCACTGAATGTCCTCAGTTTTAGGAAGTAGAAACTATTTGCCCCCATTTTGCAGTTGAAGAAACTGAGGCTCAAAGAAACAAAGTAAAATACTGAAGTCATAGCTAGTAAGTAGAGATGGAAGAAAAATGAGCAACTTTTATGGAGCACTCAGTATGTGCTAAGTAGTACCTTATATAATCCTCACATCCCTACCGGGTTATCTCATTTTCACAGGGGAGAAAATTAAGGCTCAGAGTAGTTATTTAATGAGGGTCACACAACTAATGGGAGTATAACAATTGTAATAATAATAAGCTAATATGCAGTGAGCATGTAACTGTGTGCCTAGAGTTATGTCATTTTTTTCTGGCTCAGAGAATCAAGGTATTATGCAAAGCCACACAGCCAGTGAGTGGTAGGGGCAGGATTTGAACTCAGATCTCCAGTGAAGGTGATTCCTCTGTGGGAGGGGAAGGGGCTGAACCCTGAGGAGTCACCTGCTCTTCGGCCCCATAGGGATGCGGCCCTTCATCCCGGACCAGGACATCGGCTACTTCGAGGGCTTCCTGGAGGGCGTGGGCATCCGCGAGGGTGGCATCCTCACTGACAGCTTCGGCCGCATCAAGCGCAGCATGAGCTCCACGTCCGCCTCTGCCGTGCGCAGCTATGACGGCGCGGCTCAGCGGCCCGAAGCACAGGCCTTTCACCGGCTGCTGGCTGACATCACGCATGACATCGAGGCGCTGGCTCCAGACGACGACGACAGCACGGACGAGGAGCCCCGGGGCTCCCCGGGCGGGGGAGAGGCGGATGAAGACAACTACCTGTAGCCTGTGGCCGCCGCCAAGGCGGAGGGCCTGGAGTGGGTGGCCCCGCAATCCCGCCTCTGAGCCTCACGTCTGCCTGCCGTCTCCATCCCTAGTCTGGACGGAGACTCACACCCTGACCAGGACCCCGCCCTCGGGGCTCCAGTCTCTGCAGTACCGAGAATGCCCTGCAGGGGACGAGACCCTCAAGTCCTAGGCAGTCGCACAGGGCTCAGCCAGCCCCTCTGCCTGCCGGGGAGAGGCTGTGTCCTCTTTTGTCCCACTAGCCGGGAGTCTCGGCCACCAGGACACACCCTCCTTCCCCGACTCCGGCAACTTTCTGGAGGCCAAGGGAGAGGTGATGAGTGGGCTCCACCTGCTGGCCGACTGAGAAAAGACTTCCCAGAGCCCAGAGACTTCTGTTCCTCCTACTCTACAGTTTGAGAAACCGTTTTAAAAAAAAGAAAAGGGGGCCGGCGGAGTGGCTCAGTTGGTTAGAGCGCGAGCTCTGACAGTTCGATTCCCGCTGGGATGGAGGGCTGCACGCTTCCCCCCACACACACACACACACCCGCAACTAGATTGAAAGCTGCGACTGGACTTGGAGCTGAGCTGCGCCCTCCACAACTAAGATTGAAGGACAACTTGACTTGGAGCTGATGGGTCCTGGAAAGACACAGTGTTCCCCTGCCCCAATCCCCCAATAAAGTCTTTAAAAAAATAAATAAAGGGAAAGGGACTTGAGGGAATCTCCTGATTCTCTTTAGATGTTACCTCAAACTGACTGTCCTAAGTTGTGTTGAGGGTCTTTTCAAGGCTCTAAATGGAAGGGTCTGCCCTCTCCTGGTGGCAATAATTGAATCATCGCTGTGAAGTAGAGGCTTTTCTCTACTGAGAGTTGACTCAGAGGAGCGTGATCTGAATCCCAGGCCTGGCCCTAAGACTCCAAACAAGTTGCTTATACAGATCTTGGATTTGGAGCCAGACAGACCTAGGTCTGTGTCTGGTTAGTGTCCTAGCCTCTGTGCCTCCGCTCTCCTCATCTGTCCCATGAGGTGGGTCCCACCTACCTCACAGGGTGGTCATGGGCATTAACGAAGGTCAAGACCTTAGTGCTGGGTCTGGCACGTGATAGACACTCAATAAATGCTGCTCCCTTCCAGGTCTAACGCTCCCTGACTCAGTTCACCTGTCCTTTCCCTGTGTGCAATGGGGTGGAAACAGAGGTGGGGGTGAGATGGAAGAAGACCCTCAGCACAGTTTGGGAAGAGGAAATAGGACTTGCCCCTCACAGCTTCATTACAGCCTGGCTTCATGCTTGAACCCCAAATGAAAAGTACCCAAGACTCCACAGACAGCCTTCTTGGGGGTCTGATGTAGTCAACAAAACCTGAAGGCAGGGTTGGAGAGGGACAGAAGTCAGCATAAGGACAGCACTCGGCACAGCCCAAGCAAAAGCTTGGAGGCTAAAAGGAACAAACCCTGAGAGGAGGCCAGAGGCTCGCATAGAAGAGCGAAAATTTATGGTAAAACTTGACAGAGCCTTCTATGGCCAGCCATATGGTACTTACCGTAAGGTAGGCACTATTATTACCAAATTTAAAACCATGTTATTATTATCAGAGCTTCAGGTCCAGAGAGTTGATTCACACTCAGTTTGTGGAAAATGGTCATGCCTTCATAACTGGTCTGCGCAAGGCGCTTCTGCTGTTGTTGTGCTTTATTTTCTGCCTCTGTCCATACATTCCCTACACTCCTCCTGCCCACCACAGGCACCCACTCCTATGTGTTGGTATATGTCCCTGGACAGAAATACAAAATTCTTTGCGCGTTTACACATGAATGGTACTGGGTAAGGATCTCCTTCTGTTGCTTTTTTCACTCTATAATATATTTTTACGATCTACCCGTGTTGTTATTGGAAAGTCTAGCTTATTGCATCGAATGATTACAAAATATTCCAAGGTGAGCATCCACTGTTTTATATATCCATTCCCCCAGTGATGGACACTCAGGTTGTTCCCAACTCCCTCTTACCACAAACAACATTGTGATGAACATCTTGGTGCGTGACCCTTATGAGGCTATGTGAAAATTTCTTTGGGCTCTATACCCAAGAGTAGAATAGATCACAGGGCATATATAGGTTTTAAACTTTACTAAATTCTGCTAGAATGGCTCCACTAGCAACATGTGAAGGATGCTGTCTCTTCTCGCATTTCCATCAGCTTTTACATTATCTGACTTGGTAATTTTTGCCTACAGTTTGGGTGGCAAGGCGACATCTCACTTGCATTTCTCTGTTGATCCTGAGATTCAGAACCTCCTCCTATACTTGCCAGGCATTTGAGCTTCCCCTTCAGTGAATTGTCTGTGAACTTTTGCCCACTATCTATGGGGGTTCCTGTCTTTTTCTTGTTGATTTGCAGGAGTAGCTTATATATTTTAAATATGAATCCCTTGTTGGCTGTTGCTATTCCAGATATTTCCTGCTAGTACACTGCCCATCTGTTCAGTTTATCTGTGGAAGTGGTTCTCAAACTTTAGCTTGCAACAGAATCTCCTGGAAGGCTTGCTAAAACACAGATTGCTAAACCCCACCCACAAGGTTCTGGCTCAATAGAGCAACCATGAGGCCTAAGAATTTGCATTTCTAACAAGTATTCAGGTGATACTGATGCTTCAGGAACCACACTTTGAGAACCACTGGTCTAGGGTACTTTCCTTGGAATAAATTTGTTCCAGTGAACAAATCTTTATTTTGGATGTTTTTAAGTCTATTTATCCCCATTTTAAGGATGAGAGAAGTGGAGCTCAAGGAGGTGAAGTGAATGACCCAAGGTAACCCAGAAAGCTTGGATTTAGACCCCTATCTGGCTAACCCCAGAGCCCATGGTCCTAGCTGCTCTGCTATCCTGTCTACCAGCCTTTGGGATATAGTGATCACAGACTGAAGAATTTGGACCTGAGGATACGGGGAGTCTTAGTAAGTTCCTGAGTGAGTCAGTCATAGAGGTAGGAGTCAGTTGGCTATGGGCAGGAGCCAAAGAGCTCGAGATCCCTCTTAAAGGCCCGAGGGCTTTGCAAGAGGATCAAACACAGCCTTAGCCAGGGCACAGTGACAAGGCTGCTAAGAGGGAGGCACTGAGATGTTTCTTATCCTACAACTCTGGTGATGGAGCAATTTCCCTCATACCCTGAGGAAGTCCCCACCCACCCCGGAACTACCCTGTTACCAAAGCCATGTAACCCCTAGTTACTGAGGTCCAAAGGGCCCAGGCTCTGAGCATGAGGACTGTGTGCACACTTCCTCCTGTAGTGTCCAGGATCGCTTCCCATCATGGTTCAGTTCCTGGCACTGCAAGATGGGGAAACCACCAGGAGGTGGGGCAGCTGATTCCCAAAGGCCTGTAGGGGGGTGTAGTAAGGATGGAACTTCCCAAACAGCTGGATCCCCTGGGGACAGTCCTGCCCCATGGACAAGTGATGAAGTTAGTGAAATTGTCTCCAGCCTCCTCCTTACACTAAGCCCCTCTCACTTTGGGACCCTACAACTTCTGACTCCCTTCTTGGCTTCCAACTAGAGACTCCTAGCCATGCTTCACAACTGTGTGTTGGGGACGAGTCTTGGGGCCATTGTCATTCAGTCACCAAACATTGACAGAGTGCCCACTCTCTTCCAGACACTGTGTTAGACACCAGAGGGAAATAAAAAACAGTCCTTCCCCACTGGGGGGCTCCCGGCTTGATGGGAGGCAGGTCCCCAAGTAATCACAGCAGAAAGTTCTCAATTGTAATATCAGAGAGTGAGAACCAGCTCTTTCTGGGGAAGGGAGAAAAGGCTTTTGCAGGGGAGGCGACTTAGGAACAAGACTTTGAAGGATGAGCAAGATTTTTGGCAGATAGACAATACAAGGGGGAGGGGAAGCCTCCAGGCAAAGGCCAGGTTGCTCAAAGTAGCCTGGCACACTCTGAGACTGGTGACCAGTTGGTTCCAGTGCAGTGGTTATACGCTCCACCCCGGGGTCAGGCTGAGTGAGTTTTGAATACCACTCTGACATCTGCTAGTTGGGTGGCCTTGAGTAAGCCCCTAAATGTCTCTGGATCTTGGTTTTCTTATCTATAAAATGAGGATGATAATGGCATTACCCTCATAGATCTCACATATTGTTATGAGGCTTAAACAAGATAATCCATGTAAAAGTACATATAGTAAGTGTTCAACAAGTGGGACCATTATTGTTGCTGAAGGATCATGTGGTATGTGAGAGAGGAAACAGAGGAGAAGGCAGATTTAGAAGGTCCTTTAAGGGCAGGCTAGGAAGAGTTGGTAATGGCGAGTGATGTAATGAGCTTGCATTTTCCAGAAGTGACTCTAGCTGCTTGGAGAGGAAGGTTGACTAGACAGTAGAGGACAGGCTGGGTGCTGGGGAATGGGGTAAGGGGCTAGAATGATGACCAAATGAGAGACGCTAAGACCTTAGCATCTTAGATAGAGGAAGAGGAAGGAGGAGGAGAGGGCAGGTTCCAAAGGAGAGGAAGGAGAAGAGGGCTCCCTCCTGGTTCAGAAAACAGCAGCCTCTCAAATCCTTTTATTAGATCCATCCATCCACCCATTTTTTTTTAGCACTTGAACCCTGGCCTCAAGGAGCTTACATTCTAAGGAGTTTAATAGCTATTAAGTAATGTTACTTGGTGCTTCCAGATGCAGTAACCAACCAATCAGGCTTAAATGATCAGAAATTGACAGCCCCAATGATGTGTCCTCTCATTTCTGACTTGTCTATTCTCAGACATTTTAAATGAGAGGCAAAGTGTTTTAGGCACAAACCCTTGCCCACTTTCTGCAATGGGGACTTTCAGTGTCTTCTATGACAGCCCTTTCCATCTAGCGCAAGAGCTAACAACTTCCTCCCTGCCCACCCCACCTCCCCCATCCCCACCCCTACTTCTAGGTCCTAGAATCGCCTTCTAGAACTCTACATGGTACAGCTGCTCCCTTAGCCCTTGGGTGGCCCTGCACTGATGCACAAAAAAATGATATGACCTGCAGAAACTTCTCATTTCTGTCTAAAAGCAACTTGTTTAAAAAAATTGTTTTTGAAATATATCATGCAGACAGAGATAGTGCCTATGATGTGTAAAGAGGAAATTCAAATAAGTCGTAAAGACCCAGAGCCCAATAAAAAAACAGGCAAATTATTTGTATAACTCACAGAAAAGAAAGTACAAATGACTCTGAAACATATGACGAGATGTTCATCCTCACTCATAATAAGAAAAATGCAAATTAATACTGCATTGAGAAAACATTTTTTAGTTACTAGACTGGCAAAGTTTGGAAAGTTTAATCACTTACCTTGTAGGTATAGGTATGAGGAAACAGGCACTCTTATACATTGCGGGTGGGAGGGTAAGTTGGTAAAAACCCCATATAACAATATCTATCAATATTTTAAATGCACAGACCCTTTGGTGCAACAATTCCACTGCCAGGAACTTCTCCTACATTTTTACTCACACAAGTGGAAATGGTGGGCGTGCAAGAAAAATCATGGATTTGTTTTAATAACAAGAGATTAGAAATAAACAAAATGTTCAGTGATTAGCGGCTGGCTCATGC